TCTGTATGAGCCAAGGAACCAGCCTACCAGGGGAAGGAAACCCAGACCAGAACACGTGTCCCAGCGTCGCACACTTGAGCATCTTTGATATCATCAGTTTTAATGTAAAACTGTACTGATTTTCTTCTTTTTTTTTTTTTTTTTTTTAATAATTTCAGTTTGGAAATTGATTAAAGAATCTCCAGAGGATTTAATATGGCATCAAAGCAGTCATCTCCCTCAACAGAGGAGCAGGCTTCCTCTGAAATAGATGATCTCTATCTGTCGCTGCAAGGTAAGTTACTGTAGTTTTCTGTGCCTTTTTAATGCATATTCTTGGCAAAAATCTGTGACTGTGCCCAAGTTGAAGGGAATTCTGAGAAACCTGTTAAAACTAGCGTTGTGGTCAGTGTAGTCAGTGCGTGTCTGTGCTTCTTTGCAGATGTTTCTGTTTTTCAGGAGAGACGTTTCAGCAGTGAAATGAGAGATAACAGCTCTCCTAGTACTTTCTCGTGGTGTTTTCGGATCTATTGCCTTTTTTGGTACAGATGTGCTCACTGGTTCTTAAGCTTCGTTGCTCGGAATACATGTTACTGTAAACTGTTTTCAAGGGAACCGCCAGCATGCAAACAGCGATGCCTTTTCATTTGTTTCCTTGTTTTCAATTTGCTGACAATTAGTTGGGTTGCATTAAGCTGTCTTAGTGAGGCTATTAACTATGGTACTATTTTATTTTATTTGTTTTTCTGTTCTTACTGCTATATCCCCTGCATGTGTGGAAAGATAGCTTGTGGCCAAAACAAGTACAAAATTTTTGTGGCTTCTAAACAAATTTCTTACAGGTCAGAGTCTTTCATCCTTACTTACAATGAGTTATAACTTGTTAAGCAAGCATGCACTGGCTGATTTTTAATTGTTCCGATTTAAGGGCAGCTGCCTGAACAGTTAAGTGATAACGAGTGGATCAGAGCTGGCCTCTCAGATAAGCTTTCTGGGTTTTCCTTAACCACGTGTTGAAATTTCTTGTGTAAGAATTGCCTAGGAAGACTGATTTTCCTCTAAATACATTCAAGAAAACATTCATGGCAGCTGTCGAGGAGGCCTGCCCAGGCAGCAGGTCTAGCACTGCTGCAAAGCCTGACTTTGATGTGTTTAGAGCCTGGTTATTCTAGGACGGATGGGCTAAGTCCTGTTTCCACAGAGCTATTTCCTTTTAGCTCACTTGAAATTACTGTGGTGCTTAGTTGAGAGAAAATATGTTTAAAACAGATGGTGCAAAAGCATATTCTGCCAAGTCACTTTTACAATCCATTTTTGCACTAATATTGTCATTGAAGCCATGTGTTTTGATGAGTGAGTGTTAACAGTGGTCTAAAGCCAAACGTTTTTCATGGTGAATTTTCTTGTGGTTTGCTTCAGTATTACGTTTTCAGGGGAGCAAGCAAAAACTCCTCGCAGACAGGGCCTCGTCTGACTGTTGCACCAAGCACAGCTTGTCAGACGCACATGTGTTGTGCCAGCCTTCAGCAGAAGGAGTGGGGTGGCCCTTGTCATGAAACAGGTTTGGAAAACACCATCTAGCTTTAAGGCAGAGGGTGCTGAGTTAACGTTACATGGGATCTTAGGATAGGGTTTTATTTTGAAACAATATTCGTGCTATTTTCTGAAATGTCAGACTGATGTCTATGTGTTGAACAACAGTATGATTTTTTGGTCAATATCTTGGTGAAAGAGCCCCGCTTATTAAAATTGAAATGACTGAATTATATTTCTTTGCTGTAATAATTTGAATTCCTTATTATGCTGAAATGAACACTCTGCAAATCTGGGGCCAAGCTGTATGTGCCTGACCATTGTAAAACATCCGGAGACGTCCCTTAGATGTGACATAAGCAATTTTTGTAACGATTAAAGATGTGACAAATGGTATGGACAAGTTCATGGAGTTGTGACGCTGCTGCATCTGCTCTGGGTCAAACAAATGGCGACACAGCTGCGATGAAGCACCCAAGATACATTCCCTGACATACAGAAAACATTGATAAATCTATCTGCAGATCTGTGGTGGCAAGGCTCAAATAAGAGTAATAGGGTCACTCAAGGAAAGGGGTTTGTCCATTAATAGGAAGCTTGAGATGAGATTTGCAAAGCAGCCGGAGACTTTGATTACTTTAAATCTTCAGGTTCACCTGGAGAAGTTTTAGAGAACTCTCAGATTCAAGGAATGGCTGCTTATAACGATCAGAAAAGCAGCTTACTTTTTGAGTGACTAAAGATGGATGTAAAACTGGTTGTGAGCTGGTTTTCAAATTGCTAAGATATGGCTTTGAAGAGTATGTCCAGCATTGCCTAATACACAGCGTAACAGGGGATATGTGTAAATAGTTGGCACAGAAGAAAAAAGTAGGAGTGAGATCTAGTCTGGATTGCTCGTATTTTATTCTACATATAAATTCCTTGTGATCCAATCTGCTATTATTCCTGAAAGGCATCCAGTGACAACAGAACACTTGTCTAGTCTGGTTAATAAGGACAAGATCAACTTAATATGCCAGTTTGGTAATTGTGAAGTTATATGCCTAAAAAATGTAACAAAATGGTTAGCTATTTTTTTTTTATTCCCTACTATGTGTAAAACCAAACACTCATTTTAGGTGTGTTTGACTGTGATTTAAGTCACAATCTCCTGTAACGAGGACAGCACTTTGGGGAAGAAAAGGAAGGAAAGACAGGAAGAAGAACCTCCTTAAAATAATTACTAAAGAGGTTACTACTTAGTAGCACTAATTATTATACAAATCCTATTAAATTAATGCCAGTGGCTTAGTATTGTAAAAACCTGCCTTAGTGGGCTTTCTGTTCGTGGATTTTTAGGTAGGTGAGTGTTCAAGGATGAACACTCACTTTCCTTTAGAATCATAGAATGTTTTGGGTTGGAAGGGACTTTTAGAGGCCATCTAATCCACCCCCCCCTGCAGTGAGCAGGGACACCTTTAACCAGATCAGGTTGCTCAGAGCCCCGTCCAACCTGGCCTTGAATGTTTCCAGGGATGGGGCCTCCACCACCTCTCTGGGCAACCCATTCCAGTGTTTCACCACCCTCATTGTAAAGAATTTCTTCCTTATATCCAGTCTAAACCTACCCTGTTTTAGTTTAAAACCATCACCCCTTGTCCTGTCACAGCTGGCCTTGCTAAAAAGATTTTCCTTGTCTTTCCTATAGGCCCCCTTTAAGTACTGAAAGGCCACAATCAGGTCTCCTTATTAACGTTTGGCCTAAAAGATGCAGTAAAGAAACGCAATGGAAAATAGGTGAAAATGTAACTTTGTTCTCAGTGAGTCTTTCTTTTCAACTAAATTTTAAGGAGATTTAATGGAGCTTGGAAAATATGAAGGAAATAGGTAAAGAAATGGGAACAACATGGTTTCTAATGTTCCCATCTCCAGACATTTTCAGATGATGAAGCTAGTCACAAAATCATGAGGCTAAAGTAAAAGCTGCAAGAATATAAACCCTTATATATGTATCTTTTCAGATTTATATACTGCTCTCTAATCTCCAGTTTTCAAGCTGATCTCCAGAACTGGAAGAGTAATAGTTACCTCTCCCTCCCCGCCAAGAAAATTGAAATTGCTATAAAATTGCATGATGTCAGGACTTGGGCTCCTTTTTTCCTGTTCTTTTTTCCTTCCCTCTGTCCTAGATGTTATAATAGAATTTCACAGTAAGATCAACGTTATCTGTGCCCTATCCTCCTGCACCTCTCTGCTTTCTCCCAGTTTTCTCATGCTGCACAATTTACAGCAGCTGCAAAGCCGTTGTGTCCTTGCACAGCCACCTAAAAGTGCAGGTGAAAAGCCTGGAGCTGGACCTACAATGGATCTATCCTATGGGGAAATATTTAAGGGAAGGGGTTCTCCTGCCAGAGAGGCTGCAAACATTTTGGTGAACAGGGGATGCTTGCCAGGGACATGCTCCATTGCAGCATGTGGACCAGCTTTGAAACCTGAAGTTACTTTTGCTGCAGCTATGGAGGGAGCAGGCAATGAGCACGGGAGGAATAACGCGGGAGCCCTGTCCTAGCTCTCCATAGCTTCCCTCCCAGCATTGCATTACAGGCTGGTCCCATGGAGGGGTCCAGCCTGGTGCTCAGCCTTCTGTAAGCAGAACAGGTGCAGTTGGGGTCCAAAATTGTTTTCAGCTACCTGCAATGAGGTGGCATGTCCCCTCCTTTGCTAAGAGAAGGGCTTCATGGCAATGTTTTGAGAACTGTCGGTGATGGGACTGGTCTTTGCTGATGAGCCGGAGTGGGGGGTTGCAGCAAAGGGAATGTGCAGCCACTTGTGGATGGGTGGCTACAGCAGAAGCTGAATGGGGTTTGTGGTGCTGTGGAATGGGAATATTTTTTGCTTTCGGGATGTAAATCTATTTACCTGTGGTAGGATCCAACCTTCACTTTCTCTCCCATACAAATCATTCAACTTTCTTCCCTAGGACAGCAAACAGACCCTGTGTGTAGCGTTTCCCACCAAACCTTTGCAGAACTCTTGTTTTCCCTTTTCTTTCCATGCTTGCTGAGCTAATTCAGACACAAGAGAGTGTGTTTTAGCTCTCTGAGTTTGGGGCATGTACTTGCTCTTTCACTGTTTAATTAACTGCAGGGGTCCTAATTTTTGTCTCTGCTTATTAATCCATGTGAATGCTACTCTTTATTAGTGTAACCCAAAGGATGGTCATGTAAGAACGTGGCTGCTAAAACTGCTTTTGAAGAGTGTTTAATTATATGAATGAATTATGCTATTTTCCTGCAATTAATCTAATCCTTTATGAATGATTTCTCTTCAAGTGAAATTGAAAATACGGTGATATGTACAGATAGATTTTGTTATGCAGCTTGCACTCATCTCCGAGTAAAGGAGGATCTCTCTCTGAGACCCACTTAATTCATCCAGCGGTCCGGTAGACTACTAATTCTTACCCAGCATTTTTTTTGTTGTTGTTCTAGCTGTATGCCTCGTCTGTTGGGGACAGTATGTTATTACAGCTACATTTTTTTTGCTTTCTTTAACCAGAATGATCAAAGAACTCCATTACAAGTTTATTATGATTTTTCAAGGGTGACTTTTACAAATCAAAAAGCTCCCATAAGAGCTGCACAGAAATTTATGCCCTGTTTATGGTGCCTGCTGCCCGGGTGAGGAGCTGGTCTGCAGTTCCTCTAACTGTGTGGCTTTGTGGCATGTGACGGCGCTGATGGCATTGGAGAAGCAACCGATACATGACACTGCCTAAAA